ATATATATATATATATATATATATATATATATATATATATGAGATTTTCAAATACCTTCTGGACATTTAGTGGAGAAAATCGTGCTTTGATAATATCATTCCCCAACAGAGCCTCCATTGAGAAAAGTAAATTGGCATCCCCTACACAAAGATTGAAATGGGGGAGCATTTTTCCCCCTCCACTAAACACCTTTTCTGGAAATCAACAGGTAAGTGCCAATATATATATATCTCCTCCAATGGCCCCCATTTGGCAGAGATAACCTGAGTAATCCTCTGCCATCCCACTTTTTCATCTGCTTTTAAAATGGCCCAGTTTTTCCTCTTCCTTCTTTGTCCTTGGCTTGCTTCAGTTGCTGCCAACTGAGTTCAACATGGAAAAGTAGTTTCAGCTCAATCAGAAAGGAAGAAAGGAGAGGAAAGGGAGGACTCTTGCCCTTCTTTATAGGATCAGGCAAAAGCAAACTGCTGCAGACTCTTCTACCTTGTAGGATTTTTTAATTTATTCTAATGTTGTATTTTTAATTGGTCTTTAGTTTAATTCTGTTTTAAGGGGATGGGAGGGTGGGATTATGGGATGAGGGAATGCTTTTAACTCTGTCTGTTTTAAAATTATTGTACCCTGCTCCGATTGCCACGCAGAGGGGCGGGCTATAAATAAAAATTTATTATTATTATTATTATTATTATTATTATTATTATACGTTCTTCCTTGCTTATAACTTTTGTCATCTTGACCACACTGGTCAATCTGCTTGGCTAGACATGTCCTGGTTTTCATCTGCCAAATGCTGGAGGGTATGCGATATGTAAAAGGGTGCACCAAGATGCCCCTCTCCTTCTAACACCAAACTCAGGGACTAAGTGTGGCTAGTATTTTCTAAAGTCAAAGGAGAGCCACTGAGAAATGAGAGGGTGGTTTCAAATGAAGCGATGGAGCCAGGGTTGGTTGGGTTGAATCGCCTGGATGTTTTGATTTAGTGAAAGAATGACACCATCTAAGCCACTTCCAGTCACAGTTTCTCCATTGCCTCTAAATTTAGTTGCAGTTCTCATTTGAAGTAGTTGGGGTGTAGGGGTAGCATACCCTCAAATATTTCACAGAAGATGTGGCCAAGCAACATAAGAGCATGGGCAAGGTGGCAAACGTTATCAATGGGGAAGTAGCCATAAATTAGGAAAGGCTGCAGCAGTTTGTTTTTCCTGAAGCCTACTGGGAAGGGCAAGATTTCACCCCTTCTTGTATCATCATCATCATCACCATCCTCCTCCTCATCCCCCTCCTCCTCATCCCAACCTCTTCCCAAAACTGGGACTCAGTGGGTGACCTTGGGCAAGTCACACTCTCTCAGAGGATGGCAATGGCATGTGAAGGAACTGGCCAAGAAAATCCAAGGGGAGGTTTGGTTTGCCTAAGGGTAGTCATAAGTCAGAAATGAAGGCACACAACAACAACAAACATTTCAACTCTGAACTCAGTTTGCAGCAATTGAAATAAGCAGAAGACAAGAGGGGGACAGTAGGAGGAGGACAGAAAAACTGGGACATTTGAAATGCTCCCCAGAAAGTGAGAGAACAGGGGATTAACTGGGACTGTCCTTGCCAGACTGGGACAGTCTGAATGTATGCTATGGGCCTTCCCTATGATCTCCGATATCACTGGCTTGTTGTTGTGTGCCTTCAAATCTGACATATGACTTTCTGACTTGTATGGCAACCCCGAGGCCTTAAAAGCTATCACAGGGTTTCCTGGGGCTGAGAGTGTGTGACTCTCTCCAGGTCAACCAGTGGGTTTCTACGGCTGAGCAGGGACTCAAACCCTGATCTCCAGAGTCCTAGTCCAATGCCCCAACCACTACACCATACTGGCTCTCATCGCTGGCTTCTTGACACAAAGAGATACCAAGGATTGCCAAGGTTTAAAGCGAAGACCTTTTGCATGCAAAGCAAATACCCATTCAAAAGTTTCCTTTTAAAACACATCATTAATTTTATCATGTTCCCATTCAAGGTGTGTTTTAAAAGACAACATCTGCGTGGGGAGTTGAAATGGTAAAATATGCAGTTCCTCACCAGAGATTGGAAGAGATACAGCCCAAGAAGAGCTATACTAATTTGTGTGTGTGTGTGTATATGGGATTGTGTAATCTAGAAGTCATTCACATCTGTGTGCACAAGCCTTTGCTGATTCCTAAACAGAGCTGGTGCCAAATAGGAGAGTATTTAAAGGTCTTACGTAAGGGGCGGCTGATCTAACCAAGTTAAACGGCCTCATGTCTCCGTTTGATGACTGCGCCAAGATGTGCTGGCACTGAAATGAAAAATGTCCTTCAGCAAAGCAAAACTATTGGATTTACATAGTCCAAATAACCTAATCAGTAAACTTTATTCTTCGGTGGTTCATTTCCTGGACAGCAGTTATCTTGTCCCTTTGTCTTCCTCTTAACAGAGCTGATGTTTGAACATGAGGCACTTCAGGACTAGAATGCAATTTTGTGAAGAGAGAAATTAAGAATCATGGAAGACACCCCAGAGGTCATCTAATCCAACCCTGTTCCATGCAGGGACCCGATGTGAAAGCACCCCTGAGCGGTGGCCATCGAACCTAATTGTTCTTCAAATTTTTGTTGTTTAATTGTGTTTTAACTTTTCATTAGCAGGGTTTAAGCTAATCTTGCTTTTAATCTTTGGCCATCGTACTTTGGCCATGACACAAGATGGCATGACTCATTGGAAAAGACAATAATGCCTGGTAAAATGGAAAGAAGCAGGAAAAAAGGAGGAACACATTTCAGGTGGATTGATTCAGTCAATGGCTGCCCTGAACAATTAAATAAATCTGATATAATATATGGTATGAATGGGCAAGACTTGAGCAAGGCAGTTGGTGATCACAGATCTCCGAGATCTCTCATTCATAAGATGTCCAAAATTGACCTGGAATCAAATAACAGCAAAATTGTCTTGGGTCTCATGCTGGGAGAAAGTTGGCATATGAATAAAGGGGTTGGATGAGTAAATACATGAATAAATAAATGACTTCTTTGCAAATCTCAAATGAAGGAGAGTCCACTGCTTTCCAAGATAATCTATTTCACTGTTCAAAAGCTTTTACTGTAAAAAACATTCTTCCCAATGTTTAGTCCAAATCGCCTTTCCTGGAATGTGAATCCATTGGTTCTGGACTTATCTTCTGTAATAGCAGAAAACAAGCTTCATCGTTCACATGACAACTCTTCTAATATTTAAATATAGCTGTCATATGTGAAGAGCGGGCACTGTGTAGTGGCTTGAGCGTAGGGCTACAACTCTGGAGACCAGGGTTCGATTCCCTGCTCAGCCACGAAAGCCACTGGATGATCTTGGACAAGTCACACTCTCTCACCTTCAGAGGAAGGCTATGGCAAACCTCCCCGAGGAAACCCCACGATAAGTTCGCCATAAGTTGGAAATGACTTGAAGACACACAACAACAAATCTGCCTGGATCACAATATGCTTTTTCTTCACTTCCAACATCCTTTTGATGGTTTACTTTTAACCGAAGGTTTCATCATCCTCACTGGTTAATGACTGGTGTTTTTCAAGGAACGGCTTTGTCCCAATAACTTTCACTCCAACTGTATTGGAAGACTCATTTTTCAGAGCTTCACTCTGAAGTCGGTGGGAAGAACGGTCTGTTTTTTTCAAAAAGATATTTCAAAGTGTGACTTGGATGTCATTTGCTTTTGTTGCATTATCTCCTCTGTCCAGCCTGCCTTGGTGACTCATTCTCCATGCACCAGCAGAACCTTTAATAATTCGGCTTGTTATGGCGACGATATCCAACCGTCCTTTGGAATTGCCTTGAACTCTTAAAAGAAAAAGAAGAAAACAACTCAGAAACCAAATTATCCCAGGAGAAGCTATTATCTCCTCTGCCCATAATCTAATGTTAACAGGGAAGACTCCGGAGGAGAACAACGGTCTTTCATTCAGAACTTTAAAGGGATGGAAGATTTTCTCATGTGTCTGCTGGACGACAGTTGCCAATATCAATGAGACCTAATGGGGTGGATATTCCTCCTTCCAGTCCTGCCATCTGCAAGGGAATCTCCCTTATGGAGATATCAAACCCAGGCTAGGACTGTGAGCTTCCAAAGCTGAATTTAGGCTTGAAAGGTATGTTCTCCACCGTACAGTTCTTGCATTCAGTGCTGTGAGCTCAATGCTCTTAGCATGAGTTGTGCCATGCAAAAGCCATTGCTCTCTTCTTACCACAGGTTTGCGGACAGCACCTTGAACCAGGAACCAATTTGGAGTGGATTTTAGTAGCATAGTGACAGCAGAAATAAAATAAAATAAACTCCACAAATTTTTCTTTATGAACAAGTTGGGAGCAGTTTAATACTATTTTAATCATAACTTTTTGTATGCTTTTAACCACAATTCTACAGTCAGCTCTCCTTATCCACGGATTCTTTCCCCATAGATTCAAGCATCCACAGCTTGGGAAAATATATATGCACACACACACACACACGTATACAGCTGCCCTTCCGTTTTCATGAACTTGAAGTCCACAGTGCACACTTTACATGGACAGGCAAGACGGGATATTTAAAATGGTGCATGCACCCATGGCACATGTGCATGGTCACACATGGGAGAGCATGCTCATTCAAGCCTATGGGTCTTGAATAGGTGTGATATTACTTTTTGTAGGAGGGTCTGGAATGGATCCCCCATGAAAACAGAGGTGACTCTGTGTGTGTGTGTGTGTGTGTGTGTGAGCGCGTGCGCACAAACACACACACACACAGAGCTGACCCTCCTTATCCATGGATTTTTTTTAGCCACAGATTCAAGCATCCATGGCTTGAAAATATTGCAAAAAAGTATAAATTCCAAATAGCAAACCTTGATTTTCCATTTTATTGTGGGACACTATTTTACTATGCCATTGTATTTAATGGGACTCAAGCATCCACAGATTTTTTTTTATCCAAGCAGAGTCCTGGAACCAAACCCCAGTGGTTTAACAAGGGAATATATATATACCAATATATATACCAATATATATATATATATATATATATATATATATATTCCAAAAGCAAATCTTGATTTTGCCATTTTATATAAGGGACACCATTGTATTTAATGAAAGTTGAACATCCACAGATTTTTGTATCCACGGTGGGTCCTGGATATCAGTGGAAACCAAGGGCCCACTGTACTTCATAATTCTACTTTGTAATTATTTGGTACTTACTTGATAATTCTACTTATGAAGCTGCCATGAATCCCAGTTTGAGAAAAAGGGAGGGTATAAATAAAGCGATGGATGGATGGATGGATAGCATTCTGCAAAATGTAAACTTTTCCAGCTTTGCTTTGATTGTGTATTCCTGCACAACAAGGGGTTGAACTGGAAGGCCATTGTGGTCTCTTCCAACTCTACAGTTTTATGATCCTAAACCTTAAACCACAGACAGAGAGAGACAGGGGAAAATGAAGAATCTTGGTGCACCGGTTCCACTTTGGACTCAAGACCAGTTGGTTCATAGCTCCTAGATCCAGGAAGAAATTCAAATGGGGAGAATTTCAGAAGTTTCTCAGAAGAGAGAAAACACTTAGTCCTAAAGGCCAGTTGGCATATATAGTGATTCACTGAACTCAGCAATCTGAGTTTTCAATACATATTTGTTCCCCAGATCAGAACGCAAATGATGATGTAAATCTATAGCAACCGTATGAGCTAGTCAGCTGTCAACGGAAGGTATACTAAAATGAGACACGGCGACCTGTGTCATTTTGAACCGGAGGGCTTTTGAATGGCAAGGGCCATGAACAATTAGCTATCAGGATGTCACAGCGAAGCAGGGGTTTATTTCATTCAATCAGGGGTTTTCAAATTAATATGGGAGAAGGCCTGGCATTGTAGCATGGAATAAAAATAAAAACAAAAACGCAGAGGGTATTAGTGCAAATATGCTTCCAGGGCAATGTGGAAAATCAATTTCATCTGTTTAACAGACTGTGTTATTGGATTAGAACTCCTTTTTGCACTCGGGGATGGTGGATTTCTAATGCCTTTTGCGGCTACTCAGAGTGCAAATGGGTGTCAGAAATAATTCACCCATGGGTACATCTCATTCAGGACCACAGTTTTGGAGAAAGGCAGCACACAATGACACGAGAGCCTGGCCCCCTTCAGAAGATCCCGCTTCTCCAAATTTTCTTTCATTAATTTTTTTCCACACATTCTTTTTAGCAGAAGAGATGTAAAGAGAGCTGTAATATTATTCAAAGCCAGGGCATGGGAACTGTGGCCTTCCAGGTGCTGCTGGATTACGACTTTCATCAGCCCCTGCCAACAGAGCCAATGGAAATGGAAGATGGGAGTTGTAATTCAACATCTAGAGCATCAGTTCCCAACCTGAGGGGCTCCAGATGCTGTTGAACCATAACTTCTAGAAATTTTCACCATTGATCATTCAGTGAACAGGAAAAACAACAACAGCTATTTAAGACTTTATCCTAGATGAGCATGCCAATTGGGTTTACATACTTGCCAGTTGCCCCAGTTTGGTGGGGAACCATCCACACTTGATCATTTGCCATCCCACTTTCCTAGCTGCTTTTCAAATGTCCTGGTTTTTCTTCCTCCTCCCGCTTTCCCACTTTGTTCTTCACTTATGTCCTTTGCTGCAAATTGAGTCCAAAATGCACAAGTACTTTGCACTCAACTTAGCTGGAGGGAGAGATGGGGGGCAATTTTGCATTTCCCTGTAGGGTCAGGCAACAGCAAACCTCTGCAGTCTCTGCTAGCTTTGGAACACAACATTGTGTGCTGCGCGACTCCAGATTGCTTTCAGAGGTAAGCCAA